CATTATCTTCATTTGTGGAGCTGCTGCTGCAGTTCCAACGTCCACCAGAGCAGCCTGAGATATTGAGGCCAAGATAGGGGGGAGACCAGACCTTGCTGGAGCTAGAGAGGGTTCCATTAAGAGGAGTGTCATGGGGGCTCCTGCCTCTGCTTCTGTTGAGCAGCGCACCCCAGTTTGTCCAGTGCAGGGTTGATACTCCTTGCCACATGGTTATCTGGATTCCTTGTTGGGTCAAACAATCACAATCAGGGTATCTCAGGACCCCTAATAGGGCAGAGCATCCAAGCAGACCATAGCTCCTAGGGTGCGGCAAAGCAAGGCAAATACTCACTATAGGGCCCCAGTTCAGGACCCGGCTCCTAACACATGCCCTGGGTCACTTTCTACCAAAAAGCCCATCTTGGACATCTCCTCAGCTGGCAGTGGCTTGGCATCCCAGTCAGTCTCTGTGGTTGGCTGGTTGTCCACAGCATAGTCTGGGTCCGTGGTCTCTACAGCCTGGAGAGTTGATGGTTCCTTGGCAGAAGCCTGCAACTAATGTCCTTCCCCCTCCTCCGCCAGCCCCAACTGAGTGGGGCTGCCTCCTTTTATTAGCCCCCGTTTGCCCAGTGCAGGGTTGATACATTCTGTCACAAGGAGCTTCAACCTAGCCTCTCTGTCCCTTCAAGACCTGCCTTTGGACCCCTTGCAGACTTTGTATTTTGACGAGACATGGGTGTCTCTGAAACACTGGAAGCAGCTAGAATTGCTGTCACTATGGGGAAAGGACTTTGCAGGTCTGTTGGGGATTAAATACCAAGGTCTTCAGTGTAACCTGGAGTGCCTGAGAGCTAAACCAAAGGTCCAGCAAAAGAAACATTGGCAGGGAACCCCTCTTTTTGAAGCACAACTGTCTGAAAAATAGGAAAATAATAAACTAAATAACTAGAGAAAGAAAAGGAAAAATAATAACTACATTTATATAAGTGAAAGGAGGGAAGCTGTGAAACAGTGGACATCAAATTCTCTGTCCCTGTGTTAGTCAGTTAGTTTTTTTGCCTTCACTATTCCGCTTGGAAGGCTGTTCCCAAACTTCACTCCTCTGATGGTTAGAAACTTCTGTCTAATTTCAAGCCTAAACTTATTGACATCCAGTTTATATCCATTTATTCTTGTGTCAACATTACTTTAAATAGCTCATCTCCTTCCCTGGTGTTTATTCCTCTGATGTATCTATAGAGAACAGTCATCTATCTCCTCAGCCTTCATTTGTTTAAACTAAACAAGCCAAGTTCCTTATGGCTCCTCTCATAAGGTTGGTTCTTCCTCTGATCATCCTAGTAGCCCTTCTCTGCACCTGTTCCAGTTTCAATTCATTTTCTTAAACAGAACTGTACACAGTATTCCAAATGAAGTCGCACCAGTGCCTTGTATAATGGTAATAACACCTTCCCATCTCTACAGGAAATACCTCATCTGATCCATCCTAGGATTGCATTAACCTTTTTCACAACCACATAACATTGGCGGCTCATAGTCCTCTTGTGACTGACCAATACACCCAGGTCTTTCTCCCACGCTGTCGTTTCCAACTAAAACATCTCAAGCTTATAGCAAAAATTCTTGTTTAATCCCTACATGCATGATATTGCACCCTGCACTATTAAATTTCATCCTATTTCTATTACTGCAATATTCAAGGTCATTCAAACCACAGAAATTTTTCAATTTACTACCATAATAATCTTGAAGGAGCTCCAGACTCACATTAGAAACCCCTGTCTAGAAAGCAAAGTCCTATGCTCTGTCCCCACTAATTGCCATAGCTAGGAATTGAATTCTTTCAGCCAAATTCTGCCCTGATTTACATTACATGCAATTCCAGTGAAGTCCGTGTGGCTACATGAGTTGAAAATTGGGGCAGAAATTGACCCACAGAGAGTACTTCACAGATTCCAAAGAAGGTTGGTTAGTCATAAAACAAAGAGCATGCAGAAGGCCAAAACTTTAATATGAAGAAAAAAAATATTGAGAGCGTGAAGCCCTCCGAGAGATGGCAAGTCCAGATTTCCTCTGGAGCAAGTCTTATTTTAGTTTAATTAACTTCTTCAGAGCCCAGGTCTGTTTTCTCTCCTTGGCAATCTATGCTTATACATACAAGGGAAATGTCTTCAGCATGAAGGTCGATTAACTTAACTGACTACAAATTTAAAAGTAACATAGATACATTTAAATAGTTAGTTAATTTTTCAAGTGACTGTAGTGTTTGTGAAAGATAACATAGCTCTGAAGTCCGCATTTTTAGCAAAAGAACTGGTACAGGAGAGGGAGTAGCAGTCCAAACTTTCCCAAACTTCCCTGCCAATATGCCTCAATTTTAAGTCACAGAAAAACTACCTCAAGGGGAAGTGGGATTCAGTCCCCATACGTTTTCAGACATTGGCCATTCTGCATAGATTGCCAGTAGCAGTGAAAAATTAGTGACTAATGCAATGGTGGTTTGGTGATGTAGACTCCTGTTCACTAGGAAGTGTGCCGAACTATAAACTCATTTTAAATAGGTCACTGAAAGATATAAAATGGTAACAAGATTGAGGTAAGGATTTAGCCTGCTTACTTGAAGGTGAAAGGCTCTAAATTCCATTACTAATCACTTGGGCCACACTGTGCATCAATCTATCAGATAATCTTTAAAGTTGACTACTCAGATATTTGTTCTTTTTCCAGGAAATGTTAGTTACATTGTTAGTTTCAAAAGAAGCTGGAAGCTGAGTTCATGATTAAGGGTCTGATTCTGCATTCCTTGTATGTTCAAATCTTTCATTGGCTTCAATGGAAGTTTTGTCCGCACAAGCTATACGCTGACTTTTTTCACAATTGAAATAAATTGGCCCCTATTGACCCTGAATAAAAAAATAAAAGGGACAGCTTTTCTTTTAAAAAAAATATTTATTTTTATTTAGAGCTATATTTGGGACACTGAAGAAGACATCTAATTAGACTGAAAATGCAAGTTATCTGTAAATTGTTTGACTATAATATTGTTTTATTATATGCTGCAATAAACTCAAATACTTTCTCAATACTGAGTTAAAGTATTTCATAGTAATATGTTACTTTTAAAAGCTATGTATTGCAACAATACTAAAATAGCACAAATAATTTAATGTAAAAAGATGTCAAAATTAAAAACTCACACCATGAATATGTTTTTAATTCTACCTATGTATTTATATGGCCCCTATCACCATTATATCTGAACACCTCCAAAGTAGTTAAAAATAGAAACATCACCTCTGTCTTCCTTCCCCGTTCAAAGGAGCTATAGCTCAATTAGTTATTAAGTGTGTGTGTGCATGTGGGTGTGTAGACTTTCAGGGGTCATAAAGCAAACTCACAAGAGATAGGTTATTCATTTAATTCTGAATGATCACAAACTTCACTTCATCTTCTGGGAACGTGTCTTGGGCCAGCTTCTATGAAAGTTCTGTATCTACTCCTGAGCTTTCCTTTGTTGACTGTTTTGTGATTGTAAAAGAACATAGTTGTTGTGGGAAGTCATGGCTGCAAATCTTTGAGATAGTCAAAACTCCCCCCAGAACAGTAGCTAGCTATCAGGATAGATCTTGAATCAAACTCTGCCTTCAATGGAAAACCAGTTCAGAGAGTGGCGTGCCTGGCCAACATTCTTCCATGACCTATTGCTAAGTACATGGGCTGCTGCCTTTTATAACAGTTGAATTTTTTTCAGAATGTGTAGCTTTCTTCCTAGATATGAGTTGCAATAATAAAATTTGGAAGTCAGTAATGCAGGGATCTCCATTGACAGGTGTGAAACTGATCAGCAGGCTTACAGTCAGTCACAGATAAAAGAGAGCATTTTTTGTTTTTATGGCTATTTGACATCAATAAAATTGGATCCAAAAGGATCCCAAAGCAGTGGCCTATCTTAATTTGAGGGCAGATGCTCTTACAGTGGCATTTCCCTTTTCCTATTAGCATCACCTGAGCCTTGCCCAGATTCAGTTTTAGCCAACCGCTCTTCATGCAGGTGCTAATTTTGGTGAGGTATTGAGAATTCTGGGAGATGGTGCTGTTTATGATTTTAAAATAAATGTTGTGGAGCTGAATGTTCATGGTGTGCTGGCATCTAAACCCATGTTTCACAACTTCTCCCAACAACTTCATATAGGTGTTTAATGAAACAGGAGGACTGAGCCTTGGGTGGACTCTGCAGGTGACATCTTTTGAGATGGAGAAGCCATAATAAACCTCGGGGTTTAGTCTAAAAGAAGAGACTTAAGCCATTTCAGGGCATTTTCTTCATCTGCAGCCATTGGTGGTAGGAAACAAATATGATGTAATCCATCTAATAAATGCTGTAGCGAGGTTCAGAAAGATGAATATGAGTATTTCCTTTCTCTGTTGGCAAGAAGAGCAGAGAGCACTTATGCATCAAATGCTGTCTTTTTAACATGCAGTGGCCTGAGAGGGATCCAGTATTCTTCTAGTTTTTCAATCAGCTTAGTTAGAAAAGAGGTTAGACAATGGGCAGTAGTTGGTAGGGTCGCTACCATCACGTGATGGTTCCCTTAATACTGGTTGGATTATTGTATGGGTTAGGATGGCTGGAAGACTTCCATCATCAAAGGAAACAGTGTTCAGGAATACCAATACTTAATAATAATGTTATTATATTTAACTGTAGTTTAACTCACCGATTTAAGGCAAAAGTTGTAGCAGGTCTCCAGAAATATTGTATGTGCATCAATTTGCACATGACAAATAGGCAATTATCTGTGCAATTACTTATTTTGTATAGGCAAAGGGAGTTTTCATGTGCGCAAACAGATGTGCCCCAAAATATTATAGTTGAATTTTCAGATGCTTCCTAAAACTTGAGGCCTGATCCTGATCCAACTGTAGTTGGTGACAAAACTCTCACTTACTGTAGTGGGAGCAGAATCAGACCCCTGTCTCTTACCATTTAAAAAAAGATATCCTAACTCCAATCAACAATATGAGATTTTCAAAACAAAGATCTTATTTAATTAAAGGTTAGTTTCCGTAGACTTCATTCATATGAAACTCCCATTCACAAGGAGTTCTGCATGAATACGGACTGCGGCATAGGACCTTGAATGTTACCAAACAATTACAATGGCTCTTTCCAATAAAATGATGTTTAAAGTTTTCATAATATACATCTTTTTATGGACAGACATTACATAACTGAAACAAACAATAAATATATCTTCTTTTAGAAATATCACTATTTGATGGTTAAACAATTCTCTCCATCAATATGATGAATGAACCTTGATTAGATATAAAATCCATCAGGTTATTAATGTCTCTATATATGATTAATTCCAAATCTGAAAGCTTTGTAAAGTTTCTTGAATACTGGAGGCCACCCCATCATTCCCATTCCAGCGCAAGGAATGAAGATTGGAATCCTTAAAGTGCTTCTGAAGTCAATTTCTGCTGTATTAAGCTTATGTTGTCCTGAAAGTTAATCTTTGCTTGAAAATCATAGAACGTGAATGCGTAGGATTTCCTTACTCCAAGGATTGCTGAGATGGTTTACAATTTTCAGCAAGATGAAACTACCAACTGTATTGCTGTAATCATAGGTAGTTGTCATGAGCAAACAACAGGCTGTCTGCGGATCCATCTAGAATGATCTGAAATAGAATTAAATATACCTGGTTATTTCAATATATTCACACTTTAAATCAAATCAGTATTTCATAATAGAGTAATAGGTTAATGTCTGGATATGATATATTCATGGTTATATACACCTCTACCCCCAATATAACGCTGTCCTCGGGAGCCAAAAAATCTTACTGTGTTATAGGTGAAACCGCGTTATGTCAAACTTGCTTTGATCCGCCAGAGTGTGCAGCCCCCCCCCCTCTCCCCCCGGAGCACTGCTTTACCGCGTTATATCTGAATTCATGTTATATCGGGTCGCGTTATATCAGGGTAGAGGTGTACATATAATTTAACTAGCTAACCCTGGAACAGCCATACACACTTTTGCAGGTCAATCTGTTGGACTACTCACTCTGATCTCTATGCCTGCTACTTATAATCACTTAAAATCTATCCTTCTGTATTTAATAAATTGATTTTATATTTTACCTAAAACAGTGTAGTTTTGGATGAAGTGCTTGGGAAATCTCAGCTCAGACTACAAAGGCTAGTGTAAATCCATTCCCACTGAGAGAGTGGTGAACAAGGTAATGAGCTTATGCTGGCCTGGCTTCTGACCAGTGCAAGATAGTACAGTTTGGATGCAAGGCTGGGGAGCTGTGGGGAATTGGCTGGGGCCTCTCTATTGCTGGTTCATGACTGGCTGGGAGATCATTCATGTAACTCAACTAGATGTGTCCCGGCCTGTGGATGGCTGTGTAAGTGCATTGCCTGACAGAGGCTTGTAGTTTAATATTAACATCACACTGTGAGAGACAACCCAGGCTGGTGGGTTTGTTGGGCTCAGCAGTCCCACAATCCAGGTTGCACAGTTAGAGCTGTTCAGGCTGCAGGTAGCAAGAGAGAGAAAGTACATCAGCGAATCTTGGAGCTAAAGGAACTGGAAATAGGGGCTCAGAATCAAGCAGAGGAGTTAGCACATCAGCGGGCCTTAGAACTGCAAGCCACAGCAGCTGAGGAAAAGGTAAAAGAGCGGAGACAATTGGCCTTGCTAGAGAACCAGAGCGCTCCCTCACCACTGATTTCCACCTCTCCAAAAATCCATAAATGGGAACAATTGTGTCCTGGATACAAAGAGACAGACAATCTTACAGAATATTTTACTCCCTTTCAGAGGCTGTGTGTGATTAATGAGATTCCCGAGAACAAGAAAATCCCTTCTTTGCTTGCAAAGTTAACTGGTAAAGCTCTGAATATATTCAATGAAGTGCAAGTTCAGGATGCTTTAGATTATTGTAAATTCAAAGAAACAGTTTTGAAATTATTTCAGATTACCCCTGGAACATAGAGGGTAAAATTTAGGAATCTTAAGATAAATGCTGGTATGAGTAATGGGGAATATGTAAACAGCATGAAAGATCTGATGGGAAAATGGGTGAGGGGAAAAGGGGTTGAAAGCTTTGAAGAAATATTTGACCTTGTTGCTCAGGAGCACTTCCTAAGCATATGTAAAGATGAAGTGAAACAGTGTCTATGGGACAAAAATGTGAAAACTGTGGATAAGATGGCATCTCTAGCTGATGTCTTTGAGAAGACCCAGGTATCTATTGAGCGTAAACCACAGAAAGAGGGGATAAAACTTGGTGGGAAGCAGTGTTCCTGTTTTACCCCTGGAAAAAAGGAGGGTGGCTGGGAGGTTGGGCACTCACCTCCCCAGGATCATTCCTCTAATCCCTATCTCAACTCTCCTGTGAAACCAGAAGAGCCCAAAAGGTGCTGTCACTGTAATTCCACTGCTCACCTGAGAAATAAATGCCCTGTGCTGGGAGGAAGCAGACAACAAATAGTTAATGCTGCTGTCCTCACCTCAGGAATCTCTCAGGCACCTGAGACTTATCATATTGGTTTTGTGAGACTAGCCTCTGCACAATCAGACATGGAGCACATTAACGTTGTCAGAATTAATGACAGGGAATACTTAGGGTGGAAGCATACAGGGGCACGGATTTCTCCGGTTAATCAGAGTGTAGCACCAAATGCCAACATATTACCTGGTTAAATGGCAGAAATTGTAGATGTGGCTGGAACCAGATTCCCTGTGCCACTAGCTAGAATTAATTGGCGTGGGAAGATTTGGAAAGTGTTTTGACTGTGAGAGTAATGGAAGGTCTCTCGGTTGACATACTTAGTGGGAATGATTTTTTCCATATAGCTCAGGCTGTTAAGGTGTTTGCCCGCAGCAAGAAGAAACATTATGCTGGGACCCCAGAGGGAAAGAGTAAAGTCCCAGGAACTGCTGAAGGAAAGGGAGAAAATCTCTTTGATTACTCTGCAGCAGGTGGAAGCAGCATGCTTCCAAATGTGGAGGAGATTGAGACCAGCTCTGCACTGCTGCTGAAGGCAACACCTCCTCAGGAAGGGAGAAAGGTGGAGTGCCTGTCATTGAGAAAACTGTCCAGGGTGTTAGCTGCCAACACATTGCAGCTGAACAAGGGATAGATCCCACTCTAGAGAGCACAGAGAGTGTGTCCTAGAAGGGGGCCCAAAGAAGGAAACTGGGGAAAGAATAGTGGGAGAATGTCTCCTCACTGGTCACTTGGGAGAGGATGCCCAGGACAGAGTGGACACAGGCATGCAACCTGAGACTCAGGTTCAGAAAGGGAACTGAGTAACTGACCTTTTGGAGGGAAGCAGTCACACAGCTGACCTCTTGGGGATAGAGAAAAGGGTGACAGAGGGTACCCCAACCCAGGTCCCAGTTTTCCAGGACGTTGGTCCTGATATGCTTGTGGTAAATAATTGTGGTAATTTAATCTCTTTAAATCAAGATGCAGCTACCATGCCTGTGTTAGCCAAGGAGTTGTATCCAGGAAACTTCCAGGCAGCAGTTGTCTGTGAGAATGCAAATGACTCAGCTGGCAGAGGAGAGGAGGGCTTTCTCCAGGCTGGTAAGACATAGAAAGCAGCTGAGGGAGGGCTGCTGGGAAAAGGTGCATCTGACCAAAGAGTAGACACTCTACTCTTGAGAGAATTCTACACCAAAAAAATAAAAATTCTGCACACAATATTATAAAATTCTGCAAATTTTATTTGTCAATAAATAAATGTCATTACTCCTGGGGGAATTTTGCGCCACTGCACAATGCAGAATTTTGCAGAAATTAATGTGTGTGCAGAACTTCCTTTTCCCCACAGAAATGGTCTACAGTGCTGCTAGCCGCAATAGGGTCTGCTGGACTCGGCTGAGCCCATCTCACACACAGAAGACACTGCTGGGGGGGAGGGAGGGAGCTAGAGGATTCCTGGCAGCTGCAGTTCCCAGCATGCCCTGAGGGAAGGAGAGAGTGGCACACAGAAAACTCCATGCAAGCCTGTGGGACCTAGCATCAGGCTGTTTCTCCCTCTGGAACCCTGGGCTCTGGGGGAAGAGGGGTGGATGTCTGAACCAGGAGGGGCCCATGGCTCTGGGAGGAAGGGGATGAAGGTATCTGGGCCGGGGGGACCCATGGCTGGGCTCTGGAGGGGAGGGAGTGCAGGTATCTAGACTGGGGGGCATGGCTGGACTCGGGGAGGGGGAGGGGTTGTAGGTGTCTGGCCTCCTGGCTGGACTCTGGAGTGGGAAAGGGGGCAGGGAACAGGAATAGGGTTGTCATAGGGAGTTCTTTAACGCTTTACTCCTGGGCGGGGGGGAATTTTGTGTGTCTGTATTGTTACACACATACTTCCTGACAGGTATTTTGAAATAAATTACCAAAATAATTGAAATTGGTGTGATTATGTAGTGTTATTTTGACAAATACAATGTGCAGAATTTTGCAAAATTTTTACTTTTTGGCGCTGAATTTTATTTTTTTTGGCACAGAATGCCTCCAGCAGTAAAATATGGAGACTCCAGCGTGGCAGTGGGGAGCACAGGCCACTGGCTGCATGGAGGTGGGAGATCACCCTGCATCACTGCCCCTGCACGGAGGTGGGAGATCAGGGACTCGACGGTGAGGCTGCCCTGACCGAGACACACTGCAAGGGCTGGGCCTGCCTCAGAACACCCTGGGGCCCGCCTGTCTGCACCAGGTGTGGGCAGGCAGGCTCATCCCAGCAGATCCAAATGTGGAGGGGCTGAGTGTAGGGGGCTCCAGATATGGGGTAAGAGGGTTCTGTGTGGGGCAATCTGGGTGCAGGGAGCTCATTGGGGGGAAATGGATGCACAGGGGATCATTGGGGGATTCTGGGTGCAGGGGCAATGGGACTCTACAATGGGGTCTAGATGAAGGTGGTTGGGGCTCAGTGTGGGGTCCAGGTGCTGAGGGAGGTATGGGTCCTGGTGCAGCTGGTTGGGGCTCAGTGGGATGTGGGTCCACATGTGGGGGTCTCATTAGGGTGGTCCCGGTGCAGGAGATGTGGGGGTTGATGGGCCTGCTTAACAGGGAAGCCCCCACTGCTGCCAAGGGGATGCTGGGCTCCTGCTCCCCTCCCCTGATTCACCTATCTCCTTCTCTTCCCCATCCCTCCCCCTTTCCTCTCCCCACTGTCCCCTGCCCTATCCCACATGCTTCCTTCCCCACTGCCTCTTCCTCCCAGCCCAACCCCATTTCCCCTGCCCCCCCCACCCCACCATGGGCACTCACTGTTGTACAGAAACAGGATGGCTACCAGCACACACACAACTGGCACTAGGACCCAGGAGGCAGCATCCAGCTTCAGAGTCAGCAAGCAGAGCAGCAGCCTCCTTCAGCCCAGTAGCTCTGCACTCGCAGAAATGGGGCGGGGCATTGGCACATGATCCTGTGTGCCCTGCCCCCCACATCTTGCCTTTGTTTGGGGGGGGGAAATTCCCCGCAAACTATGCTCATGGGCATCCCAGCCCCCCCTTCCCCTGCGCAGCTTCTTTTTGCTTCCCCATCATTTTTGGGGGAGGAGGGGAGGAAAGTAATTTGGAGGGGACATGAATTCTGCACAGTGGCGCAGAATTCCCTCGAAGTAATTCTTAGCCCAGAAAGCACAGATTCCAACCCTCTAGGGCAGTGGTGGGCAACCTGTGGCCCACCGTTCCCGCAGTTCCCATTGGCCGGGAAAGGCGAACCATGGCCACTGGGAGCTGTGGTGGCCGTGCCTGCAGACGGTCAAAGTCAGCAAAATGTCCCGCAGCCTGCAATCAGATTACCCTGATGAGCCGCAGGTTGCCCAGCACTGCTCTAGGAAAAGGGGGCAGGGAAGGTCCAAGTACTGGGAGTGGGGATCACATGGTAATCCCAAGAAAGGAGATGGATTTTTGGCATGTGTATAACCCTGGGATTGGGGGACAGCTCCACAGAGGGCCAGCCAATATGCAGAATCTCCCTACATCCTTATCTCACCAGACCCTGGAGTATCAGAGCCCCAAAGATGATTGGACTGAGGATTCATACTGAAGGGGACACAGAAGGGAAAATAAAAACAGTAACTGAACATATGCTAAGGTTAAGGAAGGAGTTGAAAGACACAATGGGTATTGAACAAACCAGACTGTCTAAACAGAAAGCGTAGTATGAGAAAAAATACTTGGAAATACCTCCTTGTGATGAAGGATTTGGTGTTACTGTTAAATCTCATGATAAAAAGTTTGGTAAATAGTAAACCTTATGACAAATAATTTGGTAAAGATGGTAAATCCTATGAAAAGGTACAAAGGCTAGTGTAAATCCATTCCACACTGAGAGAGTGGTGAATGAGGTAATGAGCTGATACTAGCCAGGCTTCTTCATTGCAAGACAGTAGAGTTCTGGGTTGCAAGGCTGGGGAGCTGGGGCCTCTCTATTGCTGGATTATGAGGGGCCGGGAGATCATTCATGTAACTCAGTTGGATGTGTCCCTGCCTGTGGATTGGATGTGTCCCTTACACAGTGCATTGCCTGTCAGAGGCTTATAGTTTAACATTAACATCACAGTGTGAGAGACAACTCAGGCTGCTGGGTTTGGAAGGCTCAGTGGTCCCACAGTCCAGGTTGCACTCCAGGGACCCTGTCACATTGCAACAAGGCCAGTACACAAGTAACTTCTGTCATGTACTGGAAAAGTTGCAAGGTTACCTCATGCCTTGGTACTGTTCTCTTTAATGGAGCACAGCTGGCACTTCTATTAATGAGCATATTGTTTGGCACCCAAAACCAGAGCAATCCCTAAGATCCTGGCAAATCTTGGTGGACCAACAGAAGCTGCAGCTCAGAAGTCTTGTGCCTCTGCATTAACTTTTTGCACCTTACAGTTTTCTTCTGAATCCAAAGCAACGTGGCATGCTGCCTGGGAGTTCCCTACCAGCCAGTGTCCTGGAACTCTCCTTAAGGAGGTTCCACAGCATGGACGAAGGAACACCTATATCATTGCTGCTTCAGACAGCACTAGGAGGAGTATCACCACCTGGCTGATAGACTCATAGAATTGTAGGACTGGAAAGGACCTCCAGTGGTCTTCTAATCCAGTCCCCTGCACTCAAGGCAGGAGTAAATATTATCTAGGCCATCCCTGACAAGTATTTGTCTAACCTGCTATTAAAAACCTCCAATGATGGAGATTCCACAACCTCGTGAGGCAATTTATTCCAGTGCTTAACTACCCTAACAGTTAGAAAGTTTTTCGTACTGTCCAACCTAAACCTCCCTTGCCGCAATTTAAACCCATTGGTTCTTGTCCTGTCCTCAGAGGTTAAGGAGAACAATTTTTCTCTCTCCTCCTTGTAGCAACCTTTTATGTAATTGAGAATGTTTTTCATGTCCCCCATCAGTCTTCTCTTCTCCAGACTAAACAAACCCAATTTTTGCCATCTTTCTTCATAGGTCATGTTTTAAAGACCTTTAATCATTTTTGTTGCTCTTCTCTGGACTTTCTCCAGTTTTTCCACATCTTTCCTAAAATGTGGCACCCAGAACTGGACATGATACTCCAGTTGAGGCCTAATCAGCACAGAGTAGAGCAGAAAAAATACTTATTGTGTCTTGCTTAAAAACTCCTGCTAATACATCCCAGAATGATGTTTGCTTTTTTTGCAACAGTATCGGGGGGTAGCCGTGTTAGTCTGTATCCTCAAAAACAACAAGTCTGGTGGCACCTTAAAGACTAACAGATTTATTTGGGCATAAGCTTTCATGGGTAAAAAACCTACTTCTTCAGATGCAACAGTGTTACACTGTTGACTCATATTTAGCTTGTGATCCACTATGACCCCCAGATCCCTTTCTGCAGACACCTTCCTAGGCAGTCATTTCCCATTTCATATGTGTGCAACTGATTGTTCCCTCCTAAGTGGAGTACACTTTGCATTTGTCCTTATTGAATTTCATCCTATTTCCTTCAGACGATTTCTCCAGCATGTCCAGATCATTTTGAATTTTAATCCTATTCTCCAAAGCATTTGCAACCCCTCACAGCGTGGTATCATTGGCAATCTTTATAACTGTATTCTCTATGCCATTATCTAAATCACTGGTGGAGATATTGAACAGAACCAGACTTAGAACTGATCTCTGCAGGAGCCCACTTGATATGCCCTTCTGGCTTGACTGTGAACCACTGATAACTATGCTCTGGGAACGGTTTTCCAACCAGTTAGGCACCCACCTTAAATTAGCTCCATCTAGGTTGTATTTCCCTAGTTTGTTTATGAGAAGGTCATGCGAGACAGTATCAAAAGCCTTATTAAAGTCAAGATATACCACATCTACTGCTTCCCCCCATCCACAAGGCTTGTTACCCTGTCCGAGAAAGCTATTAGGTTGGTTTGACACTATTTGTTCTTCACAAATCCATGCTGACTGTTACTTATCACCTTATTATCTTCTGGGTGTTTGCAAATTGATTTTTTAATTATTCATTCCATTATCTTTCTGGATTCTGAAGTTAAACTGACTGGTCTGTAATTCCCTGGTTTGTCCTTATTTCTCTTTTTATAGATTACCACTATATTTGCCCTCTTCCAGTCCTCTGGGATCTCTCCTGTCTTCCATGACTTTTTGAAGATAATCACTAATGCCTCATAGCTCTTCAGTCAGCTTCTTGAGTATTCTAGGATGTATTTCCTAAGGCCCCGGTGACTTGAAGGCATCTAACTTGTAATTTTTAACTTGTTCTTTCCCTGTTTTAACCTCTGAGCCTACCTAATTTTCACTGGTATTCACTATGTTAGATGTCCAGTTGCTACTAAACTTTTTGGTGAAAACTGAAACTGAAACAAAAAAGTCATTTAGCACTTCTGCCATTTCCACATCTTTTGTTATTGTTATTGTTTCACCCCCTCATTGAGTAATTGACCTACCCTGTCCTTGGTCTGCCTCTTGCTATTAATGTATTTGTAGAATGTTTTCTTGTTACCATTTATGTCTCAAGCTAGTTTAATCTTGTTTTGCGTTTTGGCCTTTCTAATTTTGTCCCTACATATTTGCGTTATTTGTTTATATTCATCCTTTGTAAATTGACCTAGTTTCCACTTTTTGTAGGACTAATTTTTTAATTTCAGCTTATTGAATTCTGCTGGTTAAGCCAGGGTGGTCTCTTGCCATACTTTCTATCTTTCCTAGCAGTGGGACAGTTTGCTCTTGTGCCCTTAATGTCTCGTTGAAAAACTGCCAATATTCTCTTGAACTGTTCTTCCCCTTAGACTTGCTTCCCATGGGATCTTACCTACCAAACTCCCTGGAATTTGCTAACGTCATCCTTCTTGACAACCATTGTCTTTATTCTGCTGTTTTCCCTCCCACCATTTCTTAGAATCATGAAGTCTGTCATTTCATGATCACTTTCACCCAAGCTGCCTTCCAATTTCAAATCCTCAACCAGTTCCTCCCTATTTGTCAAAATGAAATCAAGAACAGCTTCTCCCCTAGTTGCTTTCTTGAGCTTCTGAAATAAAAAATTGCCTCCAATGCCTTCCAAGAACTTGATGTATAATCTGTGCCATGCTCTATTATTTTCCCAACAGATGTCTGGGTAGCTGAAGTCCCCCATCACCACCAAGTACTTTGGATGATTTTGTCAGTAGTTTAAAAAAAAGCCTCATCCATCTCTTCTTCCTGGTTAAGTGGTCTGTAGTTATCTCTTACCATGACATCACCCTTGTTTTTATCCCTTTTATCCTTACTCAGAGACTTTCAACAAGTCTGTCTCTTATTTTCATCGCAACCTCAGTCCAGGTGTATACATTTTTTATATATAAGGCAACACTTCCTGAGTAAGCTGTACCCTTCTATACCAAAATTCCAGTCATGTGTATTAACCCTCCAAGTCTCTGTGATGCCAACTATGGCACTGTTGGGTTTATTAACTAGCATTTCTGGTTCTTCCTGCTTATTTCCCATACTTCTCGCATTAGTATAAGATACATCTAAGATACTGATTTGATTTCCCCGCTATGTTGTCCTTGTCCCTTTCTTATCCCTGCTAGAACAGCCCATGCTCCCCAACAGATTCCGACCCTTCTCCCAGGTCTCCATGTTTTTTACTTACCTGTGAGTTTTTGTCTCCTGCCCTCATCTGATGGTAGCATCTGTCTCCCCAGCCCCTCGGGTATATTCCCCATACCTATCTCTTCTCCCTTGTAGATCTGGATCCTCATAAATAGACTTCTGTAGGGGTCAAGGAAGAAAGGAATGATGGAAGTGAAGGGAAGCATCCCTTCTAAGGCCCCCCAGCAAGGAATCACTGGGATTTCATCCTCTCTTCTGAAAGCATCAGATGTGAGAGTCTATCTCACAGTGACTTATTTTGGCCTAACAGCTCCAACTATGACACTTCATCAAGAACCATTTTTTCCTAACATCCTCAGGATCACTGGCCCTGTGCTTCTCACAGAATAATGGTTGTTTCCACAAGCTGATGAGATCATTTACACTCTAGGGGGCCTGCTACTATTCCCAGGCCCAAATTCACAAAGAGGTTTAGGCACTATGCTGCTGAGCATTGCAATGCCTAACTTGTAGGTGCCTAGAAAATCCCTGAGATCCACAAAGCCTGAGTTAGGAGTCTAGGATCCTAGAGAGATATTCATCTAAGAATGCAATCCACAAAAGCCTGCCAGCTAGGCAAGGAGTCTCCTAAGCAAGCCAATAGGAGATGCCTCTGAGAGGGTATGTCCTAAGTCCTGCCCTTCTCAGGGAATTCTGCACCTAAGTCCAGGCTGCAGGTAGGTACCCATCTCTGCTTAAAATCCACAGCCAGGAACCCCTCTCCTAGAGCTGGGTGGCTTAGACACTTAAGCCATTTCTTGCAAGAATGGCTTAGATGCCTGCCTAATGCCACACAAAGCAGAGGAGAATGTGGATAACGACTCCCCTATAACTAGGGCCCTACCAAATTCATGGCCATGAAAAATGCGTCACAGACCATGAAATCTGTTCTCTCCCTGTTAAATCTGGTCTTTTGTGTGCTTTTACCCTATACTATACAGATTTCATGGGGAAGACCAACATTTCTCAAATTGGGGGTCCTGACCCAAAAGGGCATTGCAGGGAAGTTGCAAGGTTATTTTGGGGAGGCGGTGTCGTGATATTGCCACCCTTACTTCTGTGCTGCCTTCAGAGCTCGGTGGCCAGAGAGCTACGGCTGTTGGCCAGGTGCCCAGCTCTGAAGGCAGCACCCCACCAGCAGCAGCATAGAAATAAGGGTGGCAACACCATACCATGCCAGCCTTACTTCTGTGTTGCTGCCTTCAGAGCTGGGCGGCCAGACAGTAGCAGCTGCTGACTGAGGGCACAGCTCTGCAGGCAGCAGCACAGAAGTAAAGGTGGCAATACCATACCATGCTATTCTTACTTCTGCGCTGCTGCTGGCGGCAGCTCTGACCTCAGAGCTGGGCTCCCAGCCAGCAGCCACCACTCTCCAGCTGCCCAGCTCTGAAGACAGCGCTGCTACCAGCAGCAGCACAGAAGTAAGGGTAGCAGTACCACAACCCCCATTACAATATCCTTGCGACCACTGCACAACTCCTTTTTGGGTCAGGATCACTACAATTACAACACTGAATTTTTAGATTTAAATAACTGAAATAATGAAATTTATGATTTTTTAAATCCTATGACCACGAAATTGACCCAAATGGACCGTGAATTTGGTAGGGCCTACCTATAGCCATTAGCCCAGTGGTTAGGTTACTCATCCAGGATGTGGGAGACCCCAAGTCAATTCCTCCCTCTGCCTGATGAGAAGAGATATGAACAGGGAAGAACTATTGTAATAGCTTATCTAGGGACATGATGGATTCTCCATCACTTACAGTCTTTACATCAAGACTGAATATCTTTTTAAAAGATATAGCTCAAACAGCAGTCATGGGCTTGATGCAGAGATTACTAGGTGAGGTTCTTTGGCCTGAGTTATCCAGGAACTCAGACTAGATGACTACAATGGCTTTAAAATCTATGAATCTGTGAGTACAGAATGAGACCCCAAGTATGTAAACAAAGCCAGGACGTATCTGGGTGTAGCCAGTGATGGAGAACATTGTATTCTGCAGATCAGAAAAACCTTTAAGAGAAAGATAAAGGGAAATTTTGAGAACTCCCTGCACTTTGAGCATTCTAGCCTGCCAGTTTTTGAAAGTAGTACTCCATGCGATTCTCACTTTTCGACACCCTATTAAAAGAAACTGCTTACTGTGTATTTCAACCAGAAGAGCCACAAGTAAGCCAAATGCTAACTGCCTGTGAGAGAGCAGGGCATCATGAATCATTTTAGAAATGGAGTTCCAGGAGTGAGTGTGCTGCAAGATTGGGTTGCATGACTAGATGCGACTGTATGAGTGTAAAGTGGGGACAGAATACTGGAAGGCAAAACCTACGCAAGATGAAGATCTAATGGGTATAAGGATAACAGGTGAGATGAAGGTAAAGCAGTAAATGCTAGAGGCCACCCAAAGATTTGTTGAAAGGGACTGTGAGTACTTCTGTCAATGATCACTTGGACATGAAAAACAGAGGTTTGGATTAAGGATCCAGGAGTAACTGGCAGAAGGGTATTCTCTTATTTTTGTGCTCCTAAAACACAGATCTCAGATTCTGTTTGTCACCTGCTATCTCAACTTCTGCATCAGAAGTCTTTGACTGTAAATCCAGTCTCTTATACCTTTTTGACATTACCTTTCACCTCAGCCTTTGTGCAAGAACTAGAAGTCCTTATTGTCAATAATTCTGGAAAGGAATCCAACTTCATATGAAGTTTTCAAATTAACAGAAACTCTTCTTAAAACCAATAGAGACTATTTTTGGAAGGACACAGAGCAGGTTTGACTATTTGGAGATAACAAGGGAGTTTTCACGTTAAGTAATTTGGAAAAGTGCTTAATGTTAATATTTTCAATTATTTTACCAATTCTAAAGTCCTGGCACTCATTTAAATTAATTCTGTATACCAAGTGTATTAATGTAAAGAAAAACAAAAAGACTAACATTTTCCCCATTTGTTTAATGGAATAATATTTGCAAATGGGTACTTGAAAAAAAAGTTTTGTTTTATAATAATGGCATGTTTTGTTCTGTGAACTGAATATTATAGAGATACAACAAATGATTATGGGAACAAGTATTGTAAACTGTCATATTCTTGCTAACAGGAAAAAAGACGTGTTTGTTTCCTAAATTAAACAGTCACTCAAAACTGTTATTTGTATGTGATTTGATCCTTGCTGAAGAGTTATTTTAAAAACTAAAAAGGGAACAGCCTGCAGCTCCACTGGAAGGAGAAGTGTCACGTGGCTAATGATAATTCAAACATCACTGCCATATTCCTCCTGAGAGAAGACGTAGATGCAATTTACAATTCCTACATGCACAACAGCAGCTCTCCTGGGGTGAATCTCCCCACTTGGGCAGCGTAGTACCTGCCTTCCACTAAGGAAAGGCAACTTTCAGCTCTGGCCACTGTATCTCTAGAGTCCCTTGACTTCTCCATGGTTGACCCCAGCCACTTTATGGGCTGTGCTAACTGCCACTGGAGTGAGATTTGTGAGCATCTTGCTCCAATACAGCCTGCTTTAGGTGGACTCTTCACCCGTGGGGGTTGTAGTCTTTGTTCCACTGGTGAAAGCAGATTAATCCTGGGCAGGGTGTCTGGCCCCACAAATCTCCTGGTAGACAGAATCTATCACTTCTTAACATCCTGTAACAGTATAAAATCTCCTGGTGCTTGCATTGTCAACCCGTTTTACCATCCATAAATGACTGTTACAATCTGTCAGCATAGGTTGATGTTGAAAAGAAATCAGACATTACATAAGTTTGGTTCAAATGACCATTTTTATGGTTCAGGTAGACTAACTACCACAAACTATATGCAGCACTGGTATAAGTGGACTCAACTTCCAATGAAGTAAGTGGAAATTAAGCGCAGCACTACAGACTACTTCAACTGAGATATCCAAGTCTGGGTTTAGGAGCCTTAACTTTAAGCTTGAAAATTTTTAACCCAGATATCCTGACACTCATTCCTCTGTCAAAAGATACTCTGATTATTTATTTTAAAAGAATTTGGCACTGTTGACACAAGCCTGTCAAAATATTAAAACCCTACTTCAGTGCTGGAGAGAGGGTCACCGTAACATAGGCACTTGGATGGAAAGTAGAGGTTAATAAAAGGGGGTAGAAATGGGATTATCAGGGCACCAAGTGAAGTTCAAAGGAGCACAAAAGTCTCAGGAAAAACTCTGCTTACCTGATCCATTGCTGCTCGCTTGAGTTATTGTTTCATCTTCATCATCATCATCACTATCACAGTTTAATGAATGAAAGGCTGTTTCTGGCTCTGTGTCAACCTGATTTGCATCCACTTCTTGCTCAGCAAAGCTTCGCAGTGCAACAAGACGGTGATGTATTGCTGCATACAGGTACCCAGTATCTTTTGAACTTGCCTGTAGAAAATAAAGTGCATACAACCATTGAAAATAACTGCAAAATAACTCTGACTGCATCCCAACCAACCACTGAAGTGCAGATGCAAAGGGGAGAGATTTTAAAAGGACTCAAAAGAGCTAAAATCCCTTAATCAGACAGGTTTCAGAGTACCAGCCGTGTTAGTCTGTATCCGCAAAAAGAAGAACAGGAGGACTTGTGGCACCTTAGAGACTAACAAATTTATTAGTGTATGAGATTTGGTGGGGAACAGCCCGCTACAGAAATTTGCTCTG